TCTTCCCACCTCCCTTCCCCACTGGTAACCATAAGTTTGTTTTCTATGTCTGTAAGTCTATTTCTGTTTTGTAAATAAATTCATTTGTGCCCCCCCCCTTTTTTAGATTCTACATATAAGTGATAATATATGGTATTTTTTTCCCTCTTATTGGCTTACTTCACTTAGAATGACAATCTCCAGGTCCATCCATGTTGCTGCAAATGGCATTATTTTATTCTTTTTATGGCTGAGTAGTATTCCACTGTATAAATATACCACAGCTTCTTTATCAGTCCTCTGCTGATGGACATTTAGGTTGTTTCCATGTCTTGGCTATTGTATATAGTGCTGCTATGAACATTGGGGTGCATGTATCTTTTTGAATTAAGGTTTCCTCCAGATATATGCCCAGGAGTGGGACTGCTAGATCATATGGTAAGATTTTAAGGAATCTCCATACTGTTTTCCATAATGGCTGCACCAAACCACATTCCCAGCAACAGTATAGGAGGGTTCCCTTTTCTCCACACCCTCTCCAGAGTTTGGTTTTATCCAATAAGGAATGTGATCTATTTAGGTGTTGATTTGTTGATTTTTTTAAAACTAATTTATATTAAGTGATCTAATTTTAGTAAGTTAATTTTTCCATAGTGTATAAAACAAACTTAAAAGACCGTTTGAATCATCTAAATATAATTTTTTATTTTTTATGTTTTTTATTGAGTTATAGTCATTTTACAATGTTGTGTCAAATTCCAGTGTAGAGCACAATTATTCAGTTATACATGAACATACGTATATTCATTGTCACATTTTGTTTTTCGCTGTGAATCTAAATATCATTGAAATGAGTAGGTTGAGAATTAAAACCCTAAATTGTAAAATACAGCCCAGTGCAATGTTAGCATCTGCCACCCTTTGTGACTTGTGCCATCAAGAGTTAACACCTGATGGAAGAAAATGATTGACTTAAGCCTATTCATAGTTGTCATTCTATTTTTATTGCTAACTAGTATTCTACTATATGAATATTCCATACTTTGCTTATCCATTCTTCTGTTAATATACTTTGAGTTCTTTCTGATTTTTACCAATTATTAATAAAGCTGTCATAAACATTTATATATAACTTTTTTTTGTGGACATATGTTTCTATTCTCTTAGCTGACTATCTGTGAACAGAATTGTTAAGTCATACTGTAGGTATATGTTTATCATTAAAAAAACCTGCCAAATCATTTCCCAAAGTAGTTTTACCATTTTATACTCCCACCAGCAATGTAGGAGAGTTTTGGTTTCTCCATATCCTATTCAATATTTAGTGTTGTTAGTCTTTCCAATTTTAGCCATTTTGGTGGAGGTGGCATTCACTGCAGTTTTAATTTGTCTTTCCCTGATGACCAGTGATGTTGAATACTTTTTTATGTACTTATCAACCATTTGTATATCTTCCTTTGTCAAGTGCCTGCTCAAGACTTTTGCTCACTAAACAAAATTGTTTGTTTTTATTATTGGGTTGTAGAATATTTTTGTGTAACCTAGAATTTGTGTATATCAAGAAGATTTTCAGGTATATGTATCAAGAGCATTTTCTTCTAGTCTGTGGCTGTCTATTTTCTTTGATGTTGACTTTGGGTAAGTGGAAGCTTTTAATTTTCATCAAGTCTATTTTTCTTTTTCTATTATGGTGAGTGCTTTCTGTGTCCAAAGAAATCTTTGCCTATTCCAGGAACAGAAAGCTATGTTTTTCTTCTAAAAGGTACATTTTATTCTAACAGCTTTATAGATTTTAGCTTGTGTATTTCAGTGTATAATTTATCTTGAATTAATTTTTGTGTTTCTAATGTGAGGTAAGAGTTAAAATTCTTTTTTCCTCATTGATATCCAGTTATTGGGAATTGACTTTTGATATCAAAACTTAAAGTAACTTAAAATCTTGAACACCAGTTGTTTGGCTAATCAATACGTATTTTTGCTTGAGACACAGTTGTCTTATAGATAACGCCCATTGCCAAGACTAAAAGTTAATAATCAACTGTTTCTTATTGAACTCGAAATTAAAGCAACATCCAAAAACTTGCCCAATGGATGAAAATGACAGAAAACTCATGCAGGACTTTCCCCCCTAGATTCCCTCCTGAAAAAAATAGCAGCAGCAGCAGCAGCAACAAGAACACAAAACCTGATGTGGTCCTGTACAGTTTTGTGATGTGTTTCAGTGTCTGTCATCACTGCTTGGTTTATAGTGGTATATCTTGTATATCTGTTGCATGTTGTATGCTTCCTGTTAACATATGGAGGAAGCTCCTCATTCATTAGGCATGCTAGATCTAAAACATAATGTAGAATGATATAAAACTCAGTCCTATTTGGCTGCAATAGACAGAAACCCACCTTAAAGTTGTTAAAGCAAAAAAGGAATTTGGTTCGATTATGTAACTTGAGAATCCCAAGGGCTGAAGCTGGTTAGGCCAAATATATATTGAAATTTTTCCTTGTGTAAAGAATATTTTTTAAAGGTTGAAAAAATTTAATAATTAAAAAAATTGTGGACACAGTTAACTGCTCTCATTCTAGAAAATAGGTGTTAAAATTGTTTGGAAACTTAAAAATATACTCTAACAGTCAAAAGCAGGGCAAATTACTTAAGTAAAATTGAGATATCTTCCCCAAATAGTAATAATGCAATTTGTATCTGTTTTCTAAAGAGTTATCCCAATTAAAAAAAAAAGAGTTCTGATTTGTGAACTCAGATTATCATTATTTTCTTTCCACATTCAAACTGCAATCTAAGAGTCTTTGTTGAGTTTTTTTTAGTGGGTATTTATTTAGGATTTTTATGAAAGACAAGGAGCCAGAGAAGAGAAATTGTGCTATTCAATAATCTCTGGGGTCCAGGCAGGACCCAAATGCTTACTTCGCCTCTGAGGTTATTACCATCCTTGTTTGCTTTGACAGTTTGAGATGCTACATGTCTCTTGTTGTGCCGTTTGCAAAAAGCTGAGCTAGCTGAAAGGCAAGGATTGACTGTATTTCCAACGGTGTTTTGGTCTGTGAGCATTTGCTCCTCAGTGCTGCTGTGTGCCTGCCAGGGCTGCATAGAGTGGGTTGTTTCTCCGGGTTGTGCAGACTGGCTGCCTGATGTCCTGGCTGCTGATAGTGGTTGCCAGCGAACCCTGTTCCTTTCCATTTTGCCTGGTCCTCATTTCATCGGAAAACACAGTAGCTATAGCTGCACATAGACTTTTTCCTCTTTTCCTTTCCCCCTCGTACCCCTCCCTAGACCTCTCTGGGCTTTGACGTCACGTGTGCTCCTTTTGGTTGCCATAGCAACCCCATTTTCCCCAAGCCCTCTGTCCGTCTCCTCTGGTAGGTTCCACAATGGTACAGGCAGCATCACGCTGCACAATGGTTTCCAGGCAGTGAAAGAGGGTGATTCAGCAAGCCACTTTTTTTCTTCTTCTTCTTTTTTTTAAGCCTTCCCTTCTCTTTTTATTTTTATGGGGGTGGCTGGTGCTTGTTATATGCTTACCTTTTCCCTTTCCTTTTTCATTTTTACAATTTTCCTTTTTTCTTCTCACCCCTCACTTCCTAGGGGCTTGAGTGACTTTAAGATTGGGTTTTCTTGGAAATCATCTGTCCATCATTAATTTTAAACAATTTCCCCACCTCCAAAGAATCTATTCCTTATTACAGTTCGGAATGTGGTTATGAAAAACAAGTAGGGAGGATTTCTGAGGCAAACACTGCTGGATCAGGATCCTAGTTCTCAAGCACGGAATGGTAGGTGGCTCTTTGCTCATTCTGGGTTCTAACCTGGTTTTTGGAGGGTGGGGTGATGTCTGTTGGTTGCTCCTGGTGGGGCGGGAGAGTGAGCGTGGGAGAGGGGGGCAGAGATGGGGTGGAAAGCAGATTAATGAAGTGAACTGTCTCTGAGGCTAGAAGCCACCAGCCTTTCCTTCTGTGCGGAGCATCTCTCTCTAGACTTGGGCGTGTTGAGACCTTTCTGTTTGGAATGAGGGTTGGCAGAGGGTGGGAGGGAGCATTTTTATTGTGACCAGGGGTTTTTTAAACCAATGCAGAGCTACAGAAGAGAAAAGAAAACCAGAGACAGAGAACAGCTGTGCTTGTTAGAAGTGCCGACCTCAGTCCCATAGCTAAGAAATGTTGTAGGTTCCATGAAACATTAAAAAATCATATCTTTAAGTTACGCGTTTATGGTTGCTTCCTGAGAAATGTTACATAAATAAATATTTTGGGACATATTTACATACTGCAGTAGGGAATGGTATTTTTGTATTTTAGTTGCAAAACTAACGGCATTACTCTTGCAGAGACACTCTGGACTAAATTTGGTGTGGGGAGAGGAACACAGAACAGGGGTCAGGTTAGAGATCAGAGGAAACATTACCACTGCAGTCACACAGGTAAGGGGTCCCTTTAAGAAAGTGATCTCCAAGTCACAGTAGGCAGCTTTTTTTTTTTTTTTCCTTTATGGCATGGTTCCCAGGTACTCTGTACTGGGATACTGTGTCCCCTAGAAATGTCAAAGCTCATTTGGAAAAAAAGATACATCATCAGAAATGAGCTTGACAATATATTTATCAGAATTTATGTATTTGTGCCTGCAGCAAAATAAATGTGATTTATTGGAAAATCTTCAAGTAAATCAAGGCTAGAGATATTTCAAGAAAATTACATACACATATATATATTTTTCCCCTTTCTATTTAAATCTAGAGACCGAGTCTCTGCTTTTACCCCTTAAAACATAACTGCCCAGGGTACTGCAATTTGGCCACAGGAAAAGAATGGCTTATCCCATGGCAGTCAGCTCTGAAGCAATCACAGGGTTGTTTACATGGGCTGTCTTTGCTGCAGAGCCTGACAGCCTCTGTACGGCAACCCTGCCTGCTTATGGTGTGTTGACGATAACTTTTTGTGAACGAACCAGAGAGAGGCAGGCTAAGTCCTCTGGGACAGGCCACAGTTCAGACTGAAGGAAAATGGGTCTAAGTGCACCAGGCATTGCCAGCTCAAGGTCCAATTTCTCCTTCCGTCCCTAGTCTGCTAGTTGTCAGACCCCGGAAGAGCTCACAGAATGCTGATCTACGTATTTAAAATGGTTGCAGGAATGGCTATTTCTCTCAGAAAGGCGTCTGTAAATTTTCTGCCTTAGGTGATGTTTGTGTTGTAAACATAGAGAGTGATGCTGGAGCTCATAAATGAGCTCGCAAGCTTCGGACTCCGCTTTGGAGCCATTGGATTGTAGGGGCCGGACAGTTCTGGATGTAGCAGTTTTGCTGCCTCTGGTATGTATTCCCTTCTCCGCCTTGATCTCACTCTTAACACTGACATAAAGTACTGGATTAGCTTTTTTTTTTTTTTATCACCTAGCGCAAACTAGATTTTCTCTCCCTCACAACAGAATTAGAAAATCAGATGACAAAGGTGGTTTGACCTTAGATATCAAAGAATCTTCCTGCTTCCTCATTTGCATATCACTCCCTCCTGTTGTTGCAAAGTATCTTAATTTGACAATCTCCTGGTGTTACAAAATCTTCACAGTTTTCTTCATAAAGAGATTCTTGATGATGAGGCAGTAAGGCATTTTATGTAGAGTGGGAAAAATCTGCTGCCTGCAGCTTCCTGCTTGCCTGCCCTAGAACGGCATCTGCTGTGGGAAGGAGTGTGTGCCGTGCTGGAAGGGGATGTTTACGAACAGACCCCAGAGGGACCAAGTGTGTTTTCACTGTATTGTCTGGTACGTCTGCAGCTGTTAGTATTTAATGGTTTCATAGTATGTGGTCAATATTTTTCAAGGTTAGAATGAACTGAGAATTGATTGTGGGTGCCATAAAATATCTGTATATTTTTAAATTACAGGAAAATTCATAGGATTCCTGTAGGAATATCATAAGCAAAAGGAATCTGCCTAATTTAAGTAATGTGAAAAAGCCTCTCATATTTAAAGGTAAAGCCTCTCGTATTTAAAGGGAGGTTCTTCCTTTTTTAAGTTCTTTTTTTTTGTGGCTTTATGTAAATGAATCTTAGTGGAAAAGTCTTTTAATACTGATAATAAAAGATAAAGACAAATTGAGTTTTTCTTGTTTGTTAAGCACAAGGACAGATGCTCTCCCTTCCTGCCTGTGTTCTGGCTGCAGGTCACATTTGTAGCCCTAAGACTTTACATGGAATTGCTGTGTTCAAATCGAATAATTGCTTAGCTGCTAATGAGAATAATCGACTCAAAGCAAGAGAGGCTTCCTTCAATTAGAATAACATTTTAAATTCTTTATCCTTTGCCCTCCTATTTGCTCTGGCAGTCTCTTTTAAGCATTTGCTTGGACATTGCAACACTTAGGCAGAAAGAGGCATGAAGTGTCCAGGGATGACATGAAAGGAGTACAGGCTGTGTTTGCTGCAGGCTGAGTGCCTCCTTCCACCACACATGTATCTCTCCCACCTCCTCCTGAGGACCCAGGACTCGTGGGAGAAGTTGGGCCTGGAGACTGCTGGGGGAGACGCTAATGCAGAAAGAACAGAATCCATTTGTTTCCTTAGCATATTAGATACATTTATTGCATTACATAAGCCTAAGATGAGACACTGCTGCTGATTCAGATAAAAGATCATGCTGCATATTGATTGAAAGAGAAAATGTGATTTAGAATTGGAGCTTGGATTCTCAGAAATTTACCTGTCTGTACATATTTTCATAGCAAAGTTGTAAGGTTTTGACTAAAGATTTTTCAGTTTGAGTACATTTTATCCTTATAAGAAAAATCAAGGCAAAGAGGGGCAAAGTGGAAAATCTTTATGTTTTAGATTCTACCCCCCCGCCCCATTTAATGAAAGAGAACTCTATTTCTAATTATGAATCTCAGTAGAAACTCTAAATGGAGACTTCAGATAATACTGAAAATGCCTTGATCAAAAGAAAAGTTTTTAGTTGGAAAGGGGACTGCAAGTTTATAATTTTGATAGAGGATTTTCTAGTTGAATTGACATTTTAGATTCATAATGAGTCGCTATGGCCTTTCTCACTGATCTTATCCCTGGTGACTAGGAGATGTGAAACCCATAAGCTTATAGAACTAATGCTCCAAGAAGTGGAAATTAAAGTTTTGAATGGAAGAAGAAAGGACTGAAGTTTGCTTAGAAGCGTTCCCAACCAGTAGCTGCTCCAAAATTCCATATGGTGTGCAAATGTGAAGTGAAGTTCTCCCCCAGGGCCATCAGGCATTTGCAGAGTACCCTGCTTGGTAATAAACAGGAGTTTTGCTATAGTGTGTGTGTGTGTGTGTGTGTGTGTGTGAGAGCACGCGTGTGTGAGTGCATGTGTTTATGTGTGAGAGAGAGAGCGAGGAAGCAGGGAGATAAACCCCCCACCCCACAACTCAGCAATGACTTAAATACACTAGGAATTCATCTTAGCAACTTGTCTTCATAGAAGTAAAACTGCCTCCTGGTTTTTGGATGTTAACCTGCCTGGGTGCTCCATGTGCTTTCTGAAAATGAGTTTCTTAAAGTAATTGTCTTCTCATACATCAGAGATAGGATCTGAAAGTTTGACAGCGAGGTAAGGCTCAGGCCTGTGTATTTGGCGTATTTATTCAGTGTCTTTGCTTCCTCTGTCACAGCGCTTACCACACGCACTGCAGTAACTGCCTGTTCCTGAGTTTCCTGTGTTCTCTACTGCATCATCTCTGTCAGGGACTGACTGTGTCTGCCTCGCACATAGTAGAGACACAATCGATACTCCTTAGATGACTGTCTCCCATGTACAGGGCTAAGTTCTACAGGTGAAAGAGTTTGGGAAACTGTAATGCAGCATTTCTGCCATTTGGAGTTCATAATTGTTTATGGAGATGAGATTAATTAACAAAGATGGTGTATGATCAAGGGCCCATATTCAATAAATATAATAGAGATTTGGAGAAGAAAGAAGCCCACTCCTCTGAGATGGCGGTAGGCCACATTGGGATGGTGGGGTTGGGCGGTGGTGGGGAGATGTGGTGGGGGAGGAATTCCAGCAGCAGTTGTAAGCACTTGGCCGGGAAAGGGACTCTTCCTTGGGGCAGAGAGGACGTTTATTTGGGGAATGGTGACCATACTTTCTAAACTAGAAATCAAAAGTTGTGGTTTGATAATGGGTAGAACATTCATTGGAAACTGGCATACTCCTAGAGAATCTGGTCCAGTATAATGTCAAAAAGTAACAGTTGCAGATTGAAGTTACAGACCCACTTTTGTAACTAGATCAAATTATGGGAAAACATACATACATGCATCTCATTGTAGCTTCAGACCAATTTGAGTTTGGTTTTATTATATCTCACATGCTTTAGAGATGTTCGAACTTCTCCACCTCCTTTTATCCATAGCTTTTTAACCTGTTGTTCCATATGAACCCATTGAAATGCAATTGATTTACAATGTTTCTTCCTTCCTTCCTTTGTTTTTTTTTTTTTTTAATAATGGAGACACTGGGGATTGAACCCAAGACCTCGTGCATGCTAAGCATGTGCCCTACCACTAAGGTATAATACCCATCTCCAAGGCCATTGTTCTTCTGTGAGAACAGATTGTGCAAATATATAACAGTGGAGCTGTCCCAGTTGAAGCTGAATAGGGTGCCTTCTATCACAAAACCAAAGCCATATCAACCAAGTTGACAATTACTAATTGGGCTTATGTTCAGATTTTAAAATATCCAGCTATTTTGGTGTTGATAACACCAAAGTCCTTGTGTTTGTGATAAATTTGAACCGAGTAAACTACCTTGAGATGTTTTATTCCCTCTCTCTGCATCCTTCAACCCATAACTCATTGTTTTTGTCAATGTTCTTATTTTCTAAATGCAGGTGAAATCCCCATTTAAATATTAAAATCAAACTTGACCCTGTTTTTGCTTTGATTTTAGGCTAGCGTGAGAAATACCAACGGCAGGACCATCTCAGATCTTTGTTATGGCAACTCAGGCAAGAAGCTGTTGAATTAGAACCATTTCCTATAGATGAGAAACCATACAAGCAGTGGTGAGTTGCAAATTTAAAAATGTTCCTTGGCAGGAAACATGTGGTCTATGTAACCAATTTAAATATTGCATGTAATTTAGTGTATGGATCTGAAAAAATACTGCTCCAAATACTGCTCCAAATAATGTCAACTAAAGAAGTGAAAATCAATAAGACAGAATGTTTAACTTATAGTGTGATGCTATTAATACCACATGTAGGAGCTTGAGGTCTTTTCGTGCATGAGTGCATCATACAAAACCCTAAGTAAGATGGCTGCAATGAACAGTTTCATGTGGCTGAGTAACAGATGGGTAACAGTGTTTTTGCAACATAATTCTAGTTTTTACTGATTTGTCCCCTCAGGTAAAAGAATTGGTTCTGAGATACATTATAATGCTTAATTCCTTTTAGAAACACACACACACACACACACACACACACATTATATATATATATATATACACATTCCTATATAAATATATAGGAGTATATATAAGAATGTAATATATACTAACATAACATTCAGATCTTTAGAAATAAGGGAAGATAGATCATAAAATTCAATTTATGGACATTTAGCCTACAAATTGTTTGCTTAATAAAAGCAGTATTAAAAATAGATCCAGTTGCTTTGCTAGTTGGAATAATTGTAAAACTGTCTTGTTATTTAATAAAATATCAGCACACACAGGCCAAATATATTTTTTAATCAAATACTTGATGCTTCAGAGTCACCAATGTCAATAATCAATAGACTCCAGCAGAAACAAACCAGTCATAATCTGTCAAACTATATTTTAAGAGAAATAGAATATGACAGTGGTGCCTGTAAGACTCCAAAAGAAGCTGTTTTGAACTGGTGACCAATATTTCTCTTTCATTTATTTAGTGGCTTATGTAGGCTGCCCTTTGAATTAATGCATTACCTATAACTGCAGAGGACTGATGAAATTAACCTTATATTTATTTCACACCATGATTCTCATTACAGTCTGCTTACAATTATATTGAGATCTCAGATATAATAGTCATCACTACGCTGTGCTTAATCAATATGTATTAAACAAATGTTAGTTAGAAGGAGAATCATATGTAATTGCCAATAATTAACCATTTTGATTTAAAATAAGGGTGATTTTATGTGGCTGACCTTTGAGTTATGTGTCACGCCTAGTGTTGTAGAAAACATATATTGCTTCGTCTTAAACATGTATTCATTAAGGAAACGTTTATTGCAAATCTGTGGTGTAAATATCATCCTTAGCTCTTGGGACAGATAAAAAAAGAAGGTACCTGCCTTAATGGAGCTTTGTTTAAAGAATGTTGCACTTATAATAAAATATGCCATTAAAAAGGGAGTTGTTTCTAAAGAGTGTGGCACTTATCCACTGCTATTAAATGGGTAGACACAGGGTGCTAAAGAATGCACAGCGGAGGAGAGTCTAAAACAGACGGGATGGGGATTTGTCAAGGAAGGCTTCATATTTTAGCTGAATGTTAAGGACAGAGATTAAGCTAGAAGAGGTTAGCTAGAAGAAGGGGAACAATGAGAACATTTTTCAAGGGCCCAGAGGCTTGAGAGAGCATGATTGGGGCACTAGATGTCATTTGCTGTGCTGGGGCATAAATGCGGGTGGTAGAAATAAAGCTGAAGAGGGGTACAGGAGATATACCATGAAGGTTCTTTTAGATAAAACTAAGGAGTTTGTATTTTATTCCAAAATAAGGAACCTTTGAAAGATTTTAAGTAGAATGACATAATTAAACTTATTTTCTAGTAAATATCATGCACCTAAAAAGAGTGTCTTAAACACATGCAGTTTAAAGGATAATTATCAAGCAAACCTCATATAACCACCATTTATATTAAGGAATAACTCCCAATAAACCCTTTGTGCTCCCTTAAGATCATGTGCTTTTCCTTCCCCGCTAGGGGTAACCACCAGCCAGTGCCCTACCTCTTGTCACACTCATTCCCTTGCTTTTCTTTGCAAGTTTTCAATCTTGTAATCGTTACAGTATATATATATATATATATATATATATATTCTTAGTCACCTGATTTTGCTAAACACTGTAGGATTCTTCTGTGTTGATGCATATAGTTTATTCATGCAACTTGTATAATAATCTATACAAGTATTATATAGTATATTATATAATTATATTATAAAATATGTTATATAGAATATATATATACTTGTATAGAATACTATCAAGTATGTATATTTTATATAGGTATATATAGTATTCTATTCATCAGTATATGAATATGCTGAAATTGACTTATCTGTTCCACTATTGATAGACATTTGGATTGTTTCTATATTACTTATTTGTGTGTGTGTGTATCAACCTGAGTTATTTATATATAAATATAATAAATAAATGTATATATATCTAAATAAAACTATTAAGTATATATATGATCCTTTTATGCTCATAGATTCTAGTATACATATGTGAGTTTCTCTAGGATATACATTTTAAGAAAGGAACTACTGAGTTTTGGGGTATATGCACATTCAGTTTTTCTAAATAATGTCAAATATTTTTCCCAACTGGTTGCATCAATTTATATAGCCATCAGCAATACATAAGAAGCTCTATATCCTCACTACCGCTTGGTTTTTAAGTTCTTTAAAGTTGCTAATCAGGTAGGCACCTAATTGTACTCATGGAAGTATTAATTTGCATTTTGCTGATTACTAATGAAGAAGACTATCTTTTCATTTTTTACTGGCCATTTGATCTTTTTTTGTGAAGTACCTGCTCAAGTATTTATGAGATTTTTCCTTCAAAATAATGACTAGCATTTACCGAGCTCTTACTGTGCAGTAGGCACTGGGCTAAGCACTTTACAAACATTTAATCTTCATATTATCCCTATGATTTATAGATAAGGGAACTTTAGGTTTAAAGAAGTTAAATAACTTGCTGACAATCACAACAAAGAAACAGTGGATTTCGCATTTAAGCCCAGGTCTTTCTGACTCCAGAATTCTTCAATTTTTTGAATAGTGTTTGGAAGAGGATTAGATTAGAGCTAAGGATAACTTGTAAGGTGCTATTGCAGGAATCCAGCTGAAAAATAATAAGGGCATAAACCAAAGAATCATCAGAGTAGAACATAAGTACAAAGCAAGTGGACTCAGTAATGAATGTTGAGGGTGAAGAAGAGGGAAGATTTTAGAAGTCTCAAGTTTGAAGACTTGTTTGCTAGGTTGATTCAATATTAGTCACACAATGTACATTTATATTCCAGGTATTGTGTTAGGTTTTAAGAATACATTTTATGACTCCTTGATTCAGTGAGACATAAATTTAATTCATAGGATTATGAAGTTTAGGATCTAAAAAGACCACAGTATTTATTTGCGTCAACTCTTTACTATTTTAAAATGTGGAACCTGGTGTGAAAAGAGGTTAAGTGGCTTGTTCAAGATCACATGTTACCATCAGATTAAGAATAGGCCCTAAGCTTGCAAAGATTGCAAAGAAAAGCAACTTGCCTGCTTCTAAAAAATTAGTAAGTTAAAGCAAAATCAACTTACTTTATCTCGCAAACATTTTTCATGCCACTTCCCTTTGAAATAAATCTATTGCTACTGCCAGAATTGCCCTCATCATCATTGTTAGCAGGTTTATTATTGTTATCATTAGTCTAGCATAGGATCTTCTTGCCCATGATTCTCCCAATGAAACCACCAGATCTGATTTGCAGTTGTTGCCATATATCTGCCCTGCGTACTTTGATACGCTCCATTGCCTATGTAATAAATTCCCTTCTCCTTAAAATATACCATTGTGCCATCCACCTCCAATTTAGGAACTGATGATCTCTCCAATAGCCTGGGGACACCAACGTGCTTCAGTCTCATCACACACTCAAGTGCTTCTTACTTCTGTGATTTACTTCATACTGTCTATTCTGTCAGTAATCACCCCATCTATCCTTTACTTAGCCACTAGTCATCTTTTAAGACCTTTGTGTTTCAAAGGGTGGTCTGGGGACCAGGAGCCTGTACATCATCTGAGAGATTGTCTTGATCATAATTGCAACATCTCAAGTCCCACCTAGAACTACTGACTCAGAAGCTTTTGAACAAGATTCTCAGGTGATTTAAAGTTTGAGAGGAGCTGCTTAGGCTGACTTTAGACTTCATTAGATGTTATCTCCTTCCAGAAACCTTTCCTGACTCCTTCCATTAAGCATCCCTTCCTGGTGTTCTCACGGTAGCCAGTGTATGTCTTTCTCACTGCATTACCGGTGTTTCGTTAACTGTTTTTATGTCTGTCTCTCTACCTTAGACTGTGAATAATTTGAGCCAGATCTAATTATCTTTGACTTTTCCATGCCTAGCACACTTAGTATTACATGACTATTTGTTGAATGGTTAAAAGACAGATGAAAAAGCAAGATGTGTATGTGTGTGTGTGTGTGTGCGCGCGCGCACATGTGTATAGCAGAGGCAGGAAAGAGAAAAAACAAGGAGAAAAAAAAACATAGCCAAAGGGACTTTGTAGAGAAATAACTAGACTACGAAAGACATACGAAAAGTTGTATGTCTGAATATGGCCTGGAAAGCAGCCTGACAGAGAGTCTACAATCTTATTTAAGTAGATAAGGTGATAAATATGAACATTGTTTGCAAAATCCTTCAGAATCAGTGATTACCTTAATTTCTCATAATTTCTCATATAATAGTATGGTTATGTTATTGTGGTTGAGTAAATTTTGCCAAAATTTGTTTTATTTTACTAAACAAAGTGTCTTACCATCCTTTTAACTAGTCAGAAACTGTTTGGAATATTGTGTGAAAGAGGAGAGAGGATGCTGGTTGGTTTTGAAGTTGCACAGGAGACAGAAGTAAGAGGCCACTGAGTAGAAGTAAGAGGCCACTGAGTAGAAGTAAGCACTGTATATAATGGGACTTTCTGGTGATTAAAATGATTTGTCAGTCTGTGCTTTTTGAAAAGTAGAAAACTTGCCAGCATTGCAAGTATTTAACTATTTT